AACCAAAAAACTGGACAGGATGAAAGGTAGTTTGGTTAGAGGGTGTGAATATTTAACTTTATCATATATATTTAGGAATCTAATAGAGCAGATTGCTTAACTAGCCCAAATAACTAGTGTTATTCTTGAAGGCCTCTTAAAACCAGCAGGTTATTGTTAGCTAATAAACAATGTTGTTTAATTCTAAGAAACTCTGTTGGGGTTTATAATCAGAATAAACTTAACGTGTTAAAAGAAACTGAGCTTCAACTGCTCTTTGGATCAGTCTATTGACTCTTACCTAAACAATAATGGTATTTACAGATATTTCCCTTGCTGTCTTAGTCCACATTTCATTAATACAAGGACAAATGTAGTGAATCAGATTTTTATTGACTGAACAAAGTTGCAACAATCATTTGCTACCAAAAACTTTAAGCTACATGATGTTACCATGAGATGCTGAGTGAATCACGTTGATCAAAGTGCCCCGATTCAAGTCACAAACCTGCCTTTTTTATTTTATATTAAAAAGGCTGCATATAAATATAACGATACAGAACAAAAGGATAAATATTAAAGTACAACACAGATTGCACCAGGGGTCGATGTTTACAAAACACTTTGTGACGTAAAGCTCTGCTTTCTTATGATATCATCCTCTACGTAGACTCACCACTGAGGTTTCGTCACGCATATAAAAACGAGTACAAACAGTTCAAGGCGACGATTAAAAACAAAGCAGAAGCTCCGCGGAGCTTCGACAGGTTACATTACTAGGTCAGTATATAAGGCATACAAAAAAACAACATTCCACACATTAATGCTGAGGTTAATATGAGAAAAGTGTCAGCCAGTGCAACAGTTACACAATGTATAAAACCTCTTGAGGTACAAAGTTGCTCAACTTGACAGCAAACATTTACAATGGCCTAACATCCAAATTTCTAATCGGCCTAAATAAAAATAAAAAACAACCAAAAAATTCACTGTTGCATTGCAACTAATCACAGATTCTCATCCACAAAGGAAATGAAAAGTTCAGTGTTCAGGACCCTTCGTCTGATTCAAGGCACTGTCCAGATACGCCCGCATCTTCTCTCTGTGAGGCTGGCTCAGACAGCAGTCGATGGCGCTCTCCGCCTCCAGAATCCGCCTCCGGAAACGATCCCGGTCTCTCGCTAGTTCCTCCCAGGGACCTTTTCTGGATGCCTGGCGGGCAAAGGACCAGGTCCGCATGACATGGACTTGTACGAGAGGAGAAAAACAAACCTGAAGACAAAAAGAAAGACTTTAGTGGGAAAACCTCATTAAAAAAACAAAACAAATCTAGCTTCATGTTAAATAAAAAAAAACTCTATTACCAATTAGCTCCACTAATTGGTGACTGACATAGGAAATAGAAATAAACTAAAAACACATTAGATCTTAGAAATCAGGAGTTCAAACAGCAGCATGATTTGTTGCTCTGGAAGATGAACCCAAACCTAAATGGGGGGAATAAAGGGACTAGAAACTAAAATAGTCCTTCCTCTACAAACCTTGCTGACCAGCTATGCATGTAGCCTCAGACCCTAGGCTAAAAGCAGCAGTTAAACTCTGCTGGCTGGAGTCACGTGTCATGGCGACCAGCGCCGTTGCTAATCGACAACAAACAACAAGGCTGCTCAGCAGCTGAGCGTGTGTCAGTGAAACAGGAAGCAGGTCTTATCTGGGGGTTAAGACTGTCACTGCTGACACTCCCAGTTAAAGCCTAGATAACTGCTGCTCTATCTCCATTTAGTTTCACAGTAATACTCAGAGTGAATTTCCTCACTGAAGGCCCATAAGAGAACCTCTATTTTATTCCTGAGTTTCATATAACAAATATTTGGTAAATATTAACTTATTGACCTTTTTCTGCTTGGTTCTGGGTTTGTCGTTCTTCCCCTCAGGAGGCGGAGCCTGAGCTGTCTGCTCAGCTCTCTTCCATGGCACCAGTCTTCTGTCTGCATGGCAGTGCTGCGTTACTTTTCTGGAAGGCAGAGCAGGTTTATCAGCTGCTATCTTCTTCCTGGTCTTGGCGGGCGGACTTTGAGCTTGATGGTCAGGTTTAGATGTTATTGAGGAGCTATGAAGGGAAGCCTGGAAGTTCAGAGGGTGGTAGGGGTCATGTTTTTGGCCCAGAGATTCCCAGAGCAGTTCTTCTTCGTCGTCGTCCTCCAATGGAGGAAAGCTGCTTGGCCTTTGCTCTGTGTCTGACCTGGGGGGAGGTGCAGGGAGGGAGGCTTGTTTACATACTGAGGTGGATTTGGTTTTCAGAGTGGGGCTACTGGTTGTACTGGCAGTGAAGAACATGGGGTTGTACGGGTCTTCAGGGTTGCTGAAGAGCTGCCACAGCTTATCGCTTTCCTCCTTGTCGATATCGGGGCTGGAACATTCGGAACCAGCCCAGCTGCTCCAGCTACTCTCGCTGTCGGAGCGGCACACCCACATGTTCAGCCCTGGCTGTCCCAGCTTCTCCTCGCTCACCTTCAGATCAGGAACCCTGCTGGTTTTAATGTCACCTTTACTTATCCCCATGTCTGAGTTGGTTGAAATGCAGGCAGAGAAAAAAAGAGGATTGTACGGATCACTGGATTTAGACAAGGACTCCCAAAGCTCCTGACTTTCTTGACTCTGAAACTCAAAGTTGGGCTCCTCTTCACTGCTCCACTGAGAGCTCCTGTCCTCCTCTGACATCTCCTGTTTGAAAACTTTCTCTTTGGGGTTGACTTTATCGCTTCTGTGGCAGGCGTCGCTCGAATTACATCCATCGCTGCTCGACACGAAGATGTTCCAGTCACCAGGGAAGCCCATTTTCCAGGTAGACTGGTGTCCGAGCAGAATGCCTTCCTCCTTAGCCGCTGTCCTGGACACAAAGTCGTCCACCAGCCCGCAGCACAGGTCGTCACCGCGCAGACTGGACAGCAGGGCCTCAGCTGTGGATTTCCCAGCGAAGGGGTCGCCGACCTCGCTACAGAAGTTAGAGAGAGGGCTTGAGCCGCCGACCATGACTCCGCTGTCGCCGTCAAACAAGGAGGAAAACAGGAAGGATTCAGGGGTGTTTGAGGTGGTCCCCATATGCTGGATGTGCTCTCCTGTTTCGTCTGTGATTCTGACGTGGACCTCAAACCTGAACATCTGAAAAACTGGAGGAGAGGCAAATATTTGAGTTTACTGAAACAATGACTGAAATTATGTCACATGGAAATGATTCACATTAATCACCAATTTATACTTATACTCATGAATCATTATACTGCATATAAACTATCAGGATCCACCACACACCTTTTAATCTAAGGATTTATGTTGAACCTGCTTTGGTTCATAAAATTGATAATGATGGGGATCCAGAAATGTTAAATTATGTTTTATTAATAAAAATATAGGTAGTTTAACAATTTAGCTTTTTACTTTCATCACCCTCATAATCAAATCGTTTTCTATCATGCAAATATGAAGTAAAACTTATTGATCAATGCAGTTTTAAATTGGCTCCAGCTTTATGATCCATTTATATTAGTAATAAATAGTTTTTCTATATAAATAAAATTATGACTATGGCTTGAATGACTTTTATTGCACTTTTATTTAGAACAATTATTTGCATCTTAAAGCTACAGTGATTAAACCTTAATCAACAGAAATTTAAGTATGAAATCCAGCAACTTGTCAAGAAGTTAAACAGATGCAGCTCTTTAACCTCTGCCATGTTCTCACCTGAAACAAAGGTGTAATAGATGACCTGAAGCAGCAGTCGCAGCTGTCCCCACAGCCCGCTGAGCATCTGTTTAGTCCAGGGAAGCAGCGCCATCCCTCCGCCGCCGAACCTCTCCATAGCCGTCCGCTCTGAGCTCTTCTCCTCGGTAGTAGCCATTTTCTCCCCCGCTTCTTTCTCCTCGTTTAACGGCTGTCTATAGAAATATCCTCACGTATTCTGGTATTCCTCGTCCAGAACCAACAGACTCCGCTTATTCGTCGGTGACAGCTGTTGTCGCTTCATTCTCCGGCTGGTTTTCGACATTTTTACGTCTCCTCCGTCAAATTCGCTCAATGTGTTTCGCCATGGTTCTCTGTAGCTTGATCGTCGTAGTAGTAAGTGAATGTCTTCTTGTTGCAACAGCAGCCCATATATACACGCGGTGACATCACGCTTGGACAGCCAATCCGAAAGCACGGCCCCCAGAAAGCCGGTCCCGCCCACAGTCACGTATGACGCATAGAAAGTGCCCGTAATTTCCTCGGTAACCAGGAAGGTCCTCCAAGACTACCCCACATTAATCTATACTAAAAACAAAATGACGAAACAAAAAGGCAAGACTTTCATTATCAAAATATTTATCATTAGAAACTTTCAATTCAACTAAAGCAAAATGCATCACTGGGTTATAATCTGCTATAAACAGACAAATAATCTCTTAAAGCTTTTTTCTTTATGATTACATTCAAAGGCAGAGTATAAAAAGTGAACTTTGTTACATAGGTCGGTTTAGAGGGATATAAAAAGACACATACACCGATGTTGAATTTAAATCTTTTTATTAATTCAAAAAGGGTTTCACTTTATGCCACCAGAGCAGAAGCTGTAGAGGACTCACTGTAAAGAGAGGGAGAGAAAAAAAAAAACTGGTAAATATTCAACAGCTTGCTTTAAATATAATTTATGCTTGGTATGATTATACATAAAAAAAAAAACAAAAAAAAAACTATATATTAAAACACAAGTATTTAATAGTTCAATTGTTGACAACTTTTTGAACCTAATTTTTTCCTTCTGATTCTGCACAGAAAGGCTTAAAATAAAACTCACTAAGCTAATTTTTTATATAAATGGATCATTCAATCTGTTCATGGCATTAAATGCAAACTGGCACATTTCTTTAATTAATAAAAATGTTAATTTAGGGAAAAAAGCCGCCTTTTCATGTTGCACATCGCAAATATAAAAAAAATGTCAAAGCCCTTAAAACAGGAAAGAGGTTTATATTGTTTTCCTGCTTATTCTTAATGCTTTAAGTAGGTTCTTTAAGTAAACTGTAGGACTGAATGATTAAACAATTATTGATAGTCATCAACTGATTAAATAATAGATTGATCCATAACTGGAGTAAAGAGACTCTAAAACATGCCTTTAGCTGACAGAGCGACTCACTAAAAGGCAGTAACTATAACAAAAGTAATATATAAATATTTTCAAGATAAAAACCCACAACTTTTGTCTGTAAATATGTTCTATCCAGTACTCCACTAATGGCAAAGTTTCACTTTCACCTGGTTCAATTCTGTAAAAGGAACATTTAGCAAATCGACTATTAATCGAAAAAGTAAACAATCGATTAGAAAAATAATAGTTAGTTGCAGCCCTAGTAAATTGTATCAGAGTTCTGTGCCATTAGTTAATTGGATTACCAAATTGATTAAGCTATTCAGCCCTACTGCAAACATCTCAATGTATTTTCTCTTGTTTACAAACGTTTCCAATTTGTTTCATATTGCAGAAGTCATTTTCCTCCTGATATGTAATATGAAAAAAAAAGTACAGACCCTTTTAAAATGAGTTATTGACTCATTTCTATGGCTAATAAAAATACATGTACTTGCAAATAAAGTGAAAAAGAAATCCAAAATGTGGCTAAAAAGGAGGCACTGTTAAATGGTAATAGAAGTTAGATTGTTTGAAGGGGACTGGCAGGAACAGCACCAAGTAGCTGCTCTGCTAATTTACCTCCAGCTTTTTCTAGCACAACAGAAATATCACAACTCTTAACAGTGAAGAGCAGGACAATGAATTGTGCATTTCTTCAGATTTAAAAGGTCCAATCCAGTTAATTTTACCAGAGCATTTTCACATTTAGAGCATATTTTCTGTAACTTAGGTCCAAGGAGGAAATTTGCAGTGAAGAACCAATACGTACTACTTCCAGTTGGGGGCCAGTACTCTCTTGGTCTTGTAGTAACGGGCCAGCCTGTGAATCCTGCTTTCAATCAGAATCAGACGGAACTTGGCATCCTTGTCCTGAAAGTATCAAATAAGAATAATGGAAAAAGCCCGTATCATGCACATGCTAATATGCCAGAACAAGTTTAGATTGTTTTCCATGTTTATTGTACAAATTTACAGTTTCATTTTCCCTTTTAATAGCTCCCTTTTTTATTTGTATGTTTATATGTTGTTCATCAAAACAACTAACACTGTGTTAAACAAAAAAACAAATAAAGGGGAGTATAAAAAAACGACTATACAGTTTACTCCCAATCCCTGTTTTTTTATTTAGTTACCTTTCTGTTTCTCTCCAAGTGCTTCCTGACCGCCACAGCCTTCTTGATGAGGTGGTAGAGATCTTCAGGAAGGTCAGGGGCGAGACCCTTGGACTTGAGGATCCTCAAGATCTTGTTGCCAGTGACAAAGCGCACCTGGGCAACGCCATGGGAATCCCTCAGAATCACACCTGAGCAGGAAAAACAGAAAAACTGATGGAAAGGCTGGAAAATACACTGCAAAAAAATGTAGTAGACAGAAAAAGCTAAGAAAAAGTTTTAAAAATGTTGATATTTAAGTTATCAGGTTTATCTGAGCACATCCACATCAATATGACTTGAAAGACAAAATTTCTGCAATGCTGTTAATATTAAAGACAAACCTCAATTGTTCTTCTCCCCCTTAGTCTGTACCCCCCGCTCCTAATTTGTCCAGACTAGGGTTGTCAAAAGTATCGATACTGAAACGTTGTATCCGGATACAATACTCATTTTCAAAAGTATCGATACAGCCATCTAAAGTGCAGAATAGTGGAAAATGCACTTTCTGAACACTGTGTGATTGAATAATTCTGTGCATTTTTCAGTTTCAGACTTTTTTTTTTAACAGGTGCAGCTGCTGAGAATTACTTTTATCAAGCTTGCATAATATTGTGCACAGCATACAACCTCAAAATATTATTCTTATTGTTTTTTTATTTATTTCTTGTATTTTTTTAGTAATGAAAATATTTCTGTTGAATTTTAGAGTCTTTGTTTTTATTCTTGTGATATCGAAAAAGGTATAGAGTATCGAATATTTTACTTAGTATCAGTATCGAGTTGAAAAGTTTAGTATCGTGACAACCCTAGTCCAGACCAGGTTAAATGTTTTTAATCCATTAATTTTGTTTTTGTGCAAGTATTTAAACTAGCACCCTTTTCCATCTGTTACATTTTTTATGAGTTCTAAAAAGGTCAGTCAAACTTCTCAGACATCAACTACAGTTCATTTGGACTTCATCTCTTAATTTCAACATTTATCTTATCAGTATACCTTCGATCCTTCATTAGATCTAGTCTTTTTTTAAGCATCAATTGAAGTGATGCTGCATAAAACCAGGTAATGATAAAAATTTGCTAGAGTAGATTAAATGGTCTAAGTATATGATGTGGCATCTGGTCAAACATGCAATAGGTTCTGTATTTAAGAACCAATGGGTCCTTTAAAAAGTCTATCAGTGAAGTCTGTAACCTTTGGGTCACTTTTAATTATTCTTTATTTAGGTGAAACTTTTCCCCGGCTACAAATAAAAAACAAAACAAAACTCCTGCGTCATCTTTACCGTCGACAGGTTATAGCCATTTCCCACATTCCTCGTTTTCCAGCCACTTTTTGTTGAAATTTGCACTTTCCCCATTCTCTAGCTCTTTCTCCACCTCGAGCTTCTTTTCCGAACATACGGCTATTTCAACTTGAAGCAGTTCCACGCAAATATATTGTGATACATCTGATGAAATTGTAAAACATTTTTAATAAAGCATTCTAAATGCCACACTAATCACATTTAATGAATTTCACTGCCAATTGAGGCCTAAATTTGAAAAATTATTTGACTTAAAGACCCGTGGAAACCCTGTATTCCCTCAAGGGTCCCATGAGTGTAAATCAGGGGAGTTGTGTCCAGAATACATCCCTCAAATATTTTTCCTATTTCTGATCAGACAGGATATCAAAAAGGTCCAAATTTTGCTTCAGTTAAATATCTCAAAATGAGCGGATCTTTTGTATCAGCAGCATTTATTTGTGTTTCATGGCAAAATGTTCCCAATAACAGTCTTATTGTTTAATAAAGATCTGTTTAAGTAATGTCACTTCAAGCTTTTTCTAATGATGCAGAGATCATTAGTAAAGCACGAGGTTCACTAATGATATTGCATTTGGTCAAAAAGCAGTAATCCTGATATTATATTTGCAATACATTTTATCAAGACCTCTCTGAATAATCAACATGTTTGATGGCACAGATTAAACTCTAGGATGGAAAAATGTCTGATCAAAACAATTGAAAATCAACAGGCTTTCTTAATTGATCACCAAATTCCTCATTAAATATAAACATTTGTTTCGGCATTTTGATTATAAAAACTTACCGATCTGAGAGGGAGTAAGACCCTTTTTGGCCAGCTTGAAAATCTGCTCTTTTACATCATCAGATGTGAGTTTCAGCCACTATGGAAAGAAAAGCTGAGTTACCAGAAGAAGGGATCAAGACAGAAAAAATGAAATAAACTGCGTACTTACAGTGGGGACACTGCGCCTGTAAGGCAGAGCTGACTGGGACAAACCCTTTCTGTAATCAGACAAAAAAAATAAAATAAATTCAACAGTTCGGGAGAAAGACAGCGTGTTAGCTGGGAAAGAAAAAAAACAACTAAGTATCATGGTGAAAGCTATGGCTGAACTCGTGGAATCAAGGCCGGCTAACGCTAGCTTCGATCATCTGCAAACCTTACAAAATATGGCGGACGTTGAGTAATCTATTTTTCCACTCGCACTAATAAACTGCTTAGCTGACGATTGATCTGTCTTATAAAAAATAAATAATATACAAGAACTTCCAGAGTCTAATATAAAATCCCCACGGGCGACAAGGGGGCTAAATGTAAGCTAGCTAGTTATAAGCAGGCATTTAGAGGGAGCGTGTATTAGGTGGCTTTTTCCGGTGTACAACTAACTACATTTTTCTATTTTAATCCACAGAGGCCTCTAAAAATGTCTCATTGCATCGTTTTGTGAATAAAAATGTTCTGGCACCGTTTAAATATAGGTTTAAATCTTAAAAGAAGGAGCTCACCCGGGAGCGTGCATGCGACCCATGATGGCGGTAGAGGAAGAGAGGCCTCACACGCGGCGAAAAAAAGATTTTTTGCCTCTGCGTCGGAAATGACGTTTGACGTAGTGTTGGGAAATTCATCTCGTTCAAGAGATCCGGATCCCTGGGTTCGGTTCCCTTAGAAGACTCGGCTCCCAAACGGATCTCTATTTATTGTTATATTTGAACTCCTATTTTAGCTGAAGTGGGATATATGAATGTTTAGTATGGTAATAAATCATTTTGCGTTTTGTGTTGTTATGTGAAGCCTTACTTACTGTTCTGTTAGGAAAAAGCCACTCTTACCTTTTTTAATACATTTTTTTAAAATAACAGCATATCAAGAAAAGCCCATCTGGCCGTATGGTTGATCTTCTCTGTTTTGATCCCATATCCTCACATATGATTGGCCAAAAGACCTCCACAGTAGCCTCAATAATAATAATAATTGAAAATTTTTTGATCTCACATTGGAGAAATGTACCTGTGCGACCCATCCCGTTGGGGAGCAGTGGACTGACATCGTGGGGCACCCGAGGATAAATCAGGGTTGGGGAGCAGTGGGCTGCCATCGTGGGGCAATCGGTAGTTAAGGGTCTAGCTCAGAGACTCAGAGTGGGAATATGTGGGAGTGAAGCTTGAACTTAGAACCTCAGGATTCCAAGCTCTATGCCCTAACCACTAGGATCTCCACTCCCCCATCAGGGCATGTACCATTTAGATAAGTGCAATCTAAATAGTGCATGCAGTAAGAAAGTAGCCAGGAACATGGCAGTTAGCAGAGTGACCTCCTGAAATCCCTAGCCACCACAAGCTGCTATGCTGCTTCCCTCAGTCCTTTGTGTGAAAGACCTTATAGGGACAGCCCATCTCAAGAAGTTTGACAAAATTTCTATTATTTTATGAGCTGCACGGTGTTGCAGTTTGTGGTAATGTTGCCTTGCGACAAGAACATCCTGGGTTTGATTCCCAGCCTAGGATCTTTCCTGCATGGAGTTTGCATGTACTCCTTGTTGATGCATAGGTTATTTCTGGGTACTCCAGCTTCCTCCCACAGTCCAAAAACATTACTGATGGGCATCTCTAAATTGTCCTAAGGTGGACATGGTTGGTGGCACCAGCCCTACCATGACCCTGAATGATGAAGTGGGTGAAGATGGACATTATTTTGTGACATATGTGCGTGTCACATGCTAATGTCTCCCATGATAGTGTTCTTACTGCTGACCCCGCCAAAGGTGCTACAAATTGAGGTTTTTGAGGTTTTATAACTGAGCTATGCAGAAAATTCTATACAGGGCGCAGCCTCCAAGTTAGCATTAAGCAGTGAAAGGAAAAAAAATATAGCTGTTATAGCTGATTTTTATGAGTGACTTATTGCTAGTGGTCTGGCTGTGGCTTCCTGGCAGCAAGCATCTTGTTTTATTAGCCCTGGCAGTTTTTATTGATGGTTATAAAAAAATATACCACATATTAACTTCATTAAGGATGGGTGAGAGCCCACCTGCCCCCACCCATCCTCACCACCTTCTACAGAAGCACCATAGAGACCGTTCTGACCAGCTGTCTCACTGTGTGGTGTGGAGGCTGCAGCGTCTCAGAATGGAAGGTGGAGAAGAGTGGTGAGAATAGTAGAGAGGATCATTGGGCTCCTCTTCCCTCAATTAAAGACATTTTATCCCAACGCTGTGTGTCCCAAGCCCCTCACATCATCAATGACCCCTCACACCCCCATCATATAATGTTCTCCCTGCTGCCCTCTGCGAAGAGGCTTCAAAGCTGATGTGGGTCCAGCAGGTTCTGCAACAGCCATCAGACTGCTGAATTGTTGAAAAAACTCTAAATCATGTCCCAGACTCTGCATCACACTGCTGACACCAAACCAAAAATACTGCATATTTTAATACTCTGAACTTCCATATCAATGTGTTTTTTATACCATGTTTTTTCTCCCGCACTGTTTACATTTGATCACTGCTGCACTTTAAGGAATGTACTAAACTATGTTTTGGATACACTCTGTATATGCAAAACGACAAAAAAAAAAAAGTCTAAGTCTAAGAATTACATTGTTATAGAATTGGCAATAGATACTTGAGTAATATTCTTGTAAGTATTGCTGCTCTTACTTGAGCAAAATTTCTTACCCAACTCACTAAGAGTAACTTGAGCGTTTTGAGATCAGGTGAAACAAAACCAGGTGAGACAATTTCTCATTTTTACTACCTGAAATCGATAGCTGCATTTACATATGAATTATTATTTGTGTATTATTACCTCTTCCAATAACCAGAGTGATTTTCTTAATTAAAGAGTATAAAATAGTGTATACATAAGGCTGGTCCCCCGTTTGCTAATCGACATAACACTTCAACATCTTAAAAGTACAACCACCGACAAGAGATAAAAAAGTACTAACTTGCAGAATAACAACATGTTTGTATTTGCTGCCTTGAGAGGCGGCGGTGAAGATTATTTGGTTTTTCTAACCCAACAACTGAAAGTCTGCACCAATGCATCACAATCCATATGCAGCAGCAGCACGAAAAAATGTTTCACCATCTTGCATCTCGCCTCGGCAGCTGTCAGTGATTCCCAGTGAAGGTCAAAGGAAGTTTGCGCGATCAGTGTAACCTGATTGGCTGATTTTTTTGGCAATGGGTGTGAAAGACAACATGAGTGAAGGTGCTGTGATGATTATTGGGATCTAGTCAATATTGTAGAATGCAGGACTTCCCAAGAGGTGGAACAATGTGACCAACTGAATTCTTGATGACTCAAATATTAAAGTTACAGTGGAGGATGTTTTTTTTTTTTCCTGGTGATCATCAAAATAAGTGGTCCTCCTAATTGTCAATCATTCTGGTGATATGTTCACGTAAGGCCGTCCTACGTGCTCGTCCCCATTTCCACTTACCGGTGGTGTGTCTGACATAGCGGAAACATTGCAAATCTTCTTTTGGAAAAGTAAGCTTGTACGAGTAATGCAAATAGCAACTTTAAAACTGAGCATGAAGGAGGAGAAATGGGCTCGTGCATTCTCTCACGAGTTTAATAGGTGTTCACTTCGTAAAAATCCTCCACCTTTATACGTCACATAGATCAGGATTCCTACTGTCCTGATCTATGAGGCTGGGTCCCCAAAATGGTCACTATCAAACCTGATCTACTCAAAAATTTTAGTTAGTTGTGTCATCTTAATGTGTATAGTTTGGACAGACTTAAATATTATAGGTACACAAAAACTTTATTGGAGTGGCAACGAGATTGGATAGTTTTTTACAGTAAAATCATCTTAACACAATGTATTAAACATGTGAGGGGGTTTTCAGGTGCCACTACATTAAGTTTAAGACTTTTAAAGATTATGAATTAAGTTAAGACTTATGTCCTGACATACAGAAACATCCAAAAGAGCTGCAGTCATGGAGCAACTGACAAATTCAATTAATTTATTCCACTTGGTTAATAATGTATTTAATAGCAATTGGTCACACAAAGTTATTTAAAAATGTACTTTTTTCAATCACTTTTTACTTTTACTTCAACAACGTTATTAAGAAGCACTGTTACAACTTTTACTTGAGTAAACTTAATGGTAGCTCTATCTGTAGGGCATAATGACAGTGAATAATAAAATACGCTTATTGAAGTGATATAATATAGATTATATAAATACAAATGCACAAGAGAATTATATTTATTAAAACTTTTTTCTTTACACACCAATTCTTCTTATTTTAATTGTATTTCCTAACTATTAAGCCCGCTGGGCCATTTATTGGTTGAATAAACATACAGTTACCAGCTTATAATGCCACTGGAAGGATTTAATATAATATATTAATTTAATACTTACTTATATTAGTAGATACGATTCAGGAATTTGCAAATCATATGTTTTTGGTTTTAATAGTTTTAAACAGCGAATCAGATTTTATCATCAAACAGTTACTATTTACATAGTTGATTTACCAAATATATATATAATAAATATGGCAGTACCACAGCATTTACTCACTTTACCATGCTTCAATAAGTCGCTGTCTGATCTATGATGGGATCCCAGGTATCTGGACTGTACCCACCTCCCTCACCAGCTCAGCTCTTTGGTTTTGCTTGTTTGATTCAGAGATTCATCGAGCAGTGATGTTTATATCCCAGGTGGAGAATTAAAAAAACTTCAACTCTGATCCAAGGTTCTGATACGAAGACAACAGATATAATTAAGAGCTGCAGGGCTTTAGTCTCTGAGACAGCGTGGAACTTCTGCTGGTAGCTGCAGTCTACATCAAACCGTTTAAACCACTTTCTAAATTCGACTACCTGTTTAAACTTTGCATTTCCTCATAAGTCAGTGGTCATCACATAAAAGGCACATTGTTAGGACTACAGAAGAAGAATATCAATGGCCTTTAAAAGACAATCATTAAAAACACTCTAAATACGTTTTAAAATAAAAATTAAGTATACATAAAAGAATTATGTGATAATACTCAATCAAAACAGGTGTGCACACTGTAAACAAGGTGAATTGGTGACTCAAGGTGTGAGTAAAATAGGTGTCAGTTCATTCTTTGTGAAAAAAAAACAAAAAACAAATTACATATTTACATCCTGCTTGCATAGTCCAGTTTGCATGTCAGACTGATTTGTAGTGACATATGTTTTGTCTCCTGTGCTTCACGGCTGCATCTAAATAATCAAATTCAGATGCTCCTCGTTCCTGCTTCTAAGCTTTGCAAACCAGACTGAATTAAAACTACTTTGTACTCCAAGAGAAGTGAGAAATGTGTTCTCAAGGTGGCAAAAAAAAAAGTTATGCCTCTGAAAATTCTAACTTAGTTGGAATTTCAGCAACCAAACTTCTACAGAAAGTCCCATAAGATACAGCTTATGTCACGGTTTCCTAAAATTGAGGGCATGACCTCAATCAGGGTCTTTGATCAACCAGTGTGGGGTCTCAAAATCCACAACAGAAATTAAATTAAACAAAGAATACTTATGAATCTTAAACCCTTTTTTGTTTTGTTTTTTAAATTGATATCCATAAAAAAATAAAATCTTACAATGTCAAAACATATTCCTTACCCTCAAACAGCTCTTCAGAACTCTGCTTTCTCTTGCTGATCTTCAGCCTCTTTCTGTGCAGGTTGGACCAAGACCAACCAATAAAAAGGGTTTTCATTTCCTGACCACATTTCTCCATTCTTCTTAATTTCAAACAAGTCAGGAGGGATGATTACAGGCATAGTGAAGAATTTTCACAAATTTTTGAAAAGACCCATCCTCTCCACTTAAAAAAGAAATTCACATGAACAACCCTGTAACATTCTAGAGGGCAGGCCTATTAAACTCGTGCCCATTTCTCCTCGTGCACGCTCTGTTTAAAAGTTGTCTGCATCACTCATACAGCTTACTTTCTAAAAGATTTGCATTATTCCACTATGTCAGATTCACCACCGTGTTATTATCTTCCTGCAGAGAATTACTTCCCCTCTCGCACACTGATGAGGAAACGGATTGAAATATTGACGAAAAGGGAACTTTTATGTGTATTAATATTTTCATTTTTTGTTATGCATGGATGCCCTAAAAATGAGTTTTTTTTGGACAGATAAATGCAGAGCATTTCCTCCTGTTGTGGGAGCGTGCATCGCCCTTGACCCTCACACACAGATGAGAAAACGGATTGAAATATGGATGAAAAAGGGAACTTTTAAACATATTCTTAATATTTTGTCAGAAATGATATAGAATGGTGTTGATAGCAAAAGCAGGAAATGCCATTTACCGAGCAGAGAATATATCCATCGAACACCGACTAGCACATCGACTAACACCAGTCTCCATAAAGTCAAGTGAATAAAGTAAAAAATCGTATTCCTTCGGATTTATCCGTCCACCAAAAACATTAACAGAAATATGAAAACATTAAGAATATGTCTAAAAGTTCCCTTTTCATTCACATTTCATTCCATCTTCTCATCAGTGTGCGAGAGGGGAGGTAATTCTTGGCAGGCAGGTAATTCTGGGGACGAGCGCATAGGACGGCCTTACGTGAATGATTACCAGAATGATTGACAATTAGGAGGACCACTTAGTTAGATGATCCAGCCTGGAAAAGAACGTCCTCCACTATACCTTTAATCAGGGGGACAAGGTGCAGAAAATCATACATTTATATTAATTAGATCTGCATTTTTTGTTTTTAAAGAAGGCCTCCGTCCTAAAAAGCACTAGACCAATGGGTTGACAGAAGAAGCTTGTAGCATGGCACCCCAAACATATGACCTGCCTATAAAGCTATGAAATTATAAGATCATGTATGTAATCTTCCGATAAACCTTGTGTTTAGCTTACCATGTGTATTAAATAGCTTGTTAAAGTCTCCCTTCACAATTACAAAAACTAAGCGTGTTTTAGCAGAAAAAAAACTCTAGTTAATCAAAAATGAAATAAAAAATGAAACTACAAACATGATCTAAAAAAACATTCAAAGTTAAAAGAGGCAGCAACACTGCATTTGTTCAAAAACATTTAATTTGCTTTATGAAATAGAGATTACAGTATGCATTGATCCATTCAGGCTGGAGGTCACCGATTGAAAATAAATAACTGGCCATGTTAACAGAAACTGTGCCTGAAGAAAATCATAGATCTTTAAAAACTACTGCAGGAAAAACAGGAATTGTTTTGATCTTTTTATTAAATATGAACAGAACTTTAAATTTATAGTTACATGGATAAGATGGCAGTGTGTAATCAGGTTATTCCCTTTCTGTGAGGATGTTATACATCCAAGATGCTGATCAGAATTCACAATATTTATTTAAACATAAAACCTTATTTTTAGATTTTTTTTAACTGGTTGCTCATCACAGTGTGATATTAGGCACTTAAAAGTGGCTCTGGTTGAGCTGCCTGAACTCATGTCCAGATTCAAGGAGACTCTGGTCCAAATTAACAATTTTCCCTCCACTAAACTTATATCCTGCATCTCTTATGTTCAAAAGAGGGAAATAAATGTGCTTCAAAGTCTAAACATTTCCTTCTTTAAAGGTGTGCTGTGTGGAACTGGGAAACAAAGAATGAGCAAACTAGATGATTATGTCCATCAACCAGACCTGTTCTAGATAAACTACACATAAATCTCTAATAAGGACATGCCAAATTGTTTAGGAAGTCATAATTTAGTAATATTAAGGCTTAATTGTGCATTAAAACAGCTTTTTAGAACAAAGAAAGGCGACCTTATCCAGTCGCTATGATAAGTGGGTTATTTTTGCTTCTTTGTTAGTTTTGGCACATCTTGGGGAAATTGTCTCCTCAAAGTGAATTAAATGGCCTACCTTACTTTAACATGTCTGCAGCAAAGCAGGAAATCCTACTGTCCTCTCTGTATGTCTACATAGTTCCTAACTATAACATGTAGAAATGTTTCTCCTTTCTCTTCCTTAAAAAACAAAACACACATCAGTATATATAGATACTCTTCTGAAAAAAGCCATTTTGGTCCTCTAATAAGAAAATGTACAAAATATTACAGCTCTTAGTTATATATTTTTTAAAAAGGAGGCAAAACAAGAAGATTGTTTCTCTGACAAACAACCTTGATTAGTTTTACAGGCGGGAAGGAAAAGTGGAAACTCTGGACACATTCATGTGATGTGGGAAGAACCCGCAGAGCTACGGACAAATCTGAGCCACATTCAAACTCATCAGAAACGGCTCACTTTCAATAAAATATATACCAGTTTACCAGAAGCGCAGTCATATAACGTTAGCAAAATCTCATCATTATTAAACCCTCCATTTGATTTATTTTACTTTTCTTTTTTATAGACTTTATTTGAATTTGATAAATTAATTTCATAAATTTCCTGTTGTCCTTGATTCTGGCCAGTATTTCCCTGTAAAGCTCCATATTTTGAATGCATCTGTTGTCTGAAGAGCCAGAGGCAGGGGTCAGAAGTAAGGAACTGCTGTCAGTTTGTACCAGTTGACCGTCTCCTTGCTGAGGTCGAAGTCTTTGAGTCTGAGTGTGATGCCACCCAGGAAGTAGTTTTCACGCAGGGACTCGGCACTGAGCACGCTCAGCTGCAGCTCCCGCAGGCTGAGGGTTTCTTTGCTGTAGCTGCTGTACACCAGCTTTGGAGAGGAGATGTGCAGAAGTCAGACTGGATCTGATCTGAACATATTGCAGAGAACTGTGGTGTTTTTTTTTTTATCTCACCATTTCGTTGAAGGTGGGGTTCCTGGTTTTTCTGGAGATCTTAGTCTTGCGTTTTGAAGTCTTGTGTGGATCAGGAAGCAGGTAGGTTTTTACATATGGGTTTGGATCGGTTCCATCCTCAGAAACCTGTTCAAGTCAGAAGATTATATACTCTTATTACCGCTCTGCAGTTGTTTTACTCTTGCGAAACAAATTGAATAATTTTCAAAAATAAAAACTGAATTGTTTATGGATCAAGATTATACTTCTGACCAAGTTTCTTAGAAATTCTACAGGGTGATTCAAATTGATCCAGCCTCAGGCTCTTGACCGAGGCTGAATGGGTCCAGAATCCAGAGGTTCCGAGTTCAAGCCCCACTCCCACAGTCTGCCACTCTGGGTCTCTGAGCAAGACCCTTAACCCCACACTGCTCCCTGGGCCGCGCACCATGGCAGCCCACTGCTCCCAAAGGGGATGGGTTCAATGCAGAGAGTGAATTTTCTCCAATGTGAGATCAGTAAAGTTCAATCATTTTTAATATAATTAAACAATTTCTGAAGAGTTTGTGGTGTGATCTTCCTATATTTAACACCTTACTGTGTCCAGATACCACCATCAGACCAAGCCGTAAAATGAATCGAGAATTTGGATAATTTAGAGACAACCACATATCTAAAATATAAAACTAGGAGAATCCTGAACAGCAGGAACATTTCCCTGTGCTTTATGTTTTCTATGACGTTTTTCTGGTTACCAACCTCCAGGGTTTCAACTGTTTCCATCAGACTCTAGGCACGTAAACTCAGAGGAATATCTAGACATGCAGTTATGATGTCATAATGATCTACATAAAGAAGGAGCTCTTTGGATGTATGTATTGAAGTTTGTTTACCAGGTCTCGGATATGCATGACCATTATGAACAAAGTACTGTTTCTGTACGAAATGGAAAGCTTCACTTCTCCTTCCACCCGACCAGAGGTTGGACTCAGCAGAGGCTCTGAGACACAAAAACAGCACACATCAAACTCAGAAACATTAACAATGACATTATACACACACCTTAACACTTGGACTTTCACAATGCCAAGGATATGTTTGTTTTTTTTTTAAGGAGACAGACTAATGACAAACAATGGTAGAGAAAGTGAAAGTAGACGCAACGTCAGCTCAACGCCCACCAGCAGAGGAATGTGGTAGATCTCTACCTACCAGCTGGATTGGGTGTGGTTTCTAAGCCCTCGGTTTTCTCATCCCGAGCAATTGGATGGAAGAAAGTGTAGATCAGGTCACACTGCAATAAAACAAAACCAGATTAAATAATGAGTGCCACCGCGTACCGGGTGAGACGGGGAGTCTGTACCTGGGCCACTTCAGTGGAGCTCCTCATCAGGTTGTGGACATAACTATTGAGCTCCAGCTTCCTCTTGGATGCCACCTCCTTAATGTGAGTGCGACCAAGCACCATTTTATTTGGAAAACTACAGAATGAGAAAAAAATTATCATCTAACATCTTTTTAGGTCCTGTTTTAAGATAAGATGTTTTTAGATCCTATATCAGCTGATTGTCCTACCAGATAAACACAACCTTTAATGGAATTCCTCTACAATTAACAGTTAGCTCTTATTATTTACAAATTGATATTTTAGTAAAATCCCATGATCTTTTCATGGGAATCTAAAGCTGAGAGTATTTCTATCGTTTTTAATTTGCTCGATTAACAATCTTCTACATTTTGACATTGTGAAACATCAGCAGTACAGATGGTGAGTCAGTACAGCCACCTGTAAACAACCTGAAGGTGATACGTTACCCAGGCAGCTTCCAGAGGGGGAACACAATGGTCAGTTTATTGTGGAGCTCCTGAAACTCATCAAAAGTGCGGAAGACAAACTGAGGCTCGTTTTGACCTTCCCTCATGATCCTCACCACGTAGGTCTGCTCAGAATATAAAGACACAGCGTCTTAAAGAAAGTCCTAGTACCAAATGACAGGCAAGGATCAAACGGTGTTGGTGGGGCTCACATAATGCTTGTCAGGGTTGTATCTCTTCTGGAAGGAAAAGATGGAGGCGTGGATGATGCGGCCGTCCTGCTTCATGGTGTACGTCTTGGGTGAGAAGGACAGGATTGGCTCGTCATTAGCAGGAAGGCCAGAGAACCGTAACTGAGCCAGGTTGTGGATGAAGAAGTTAAATTTGGTGGCTATGCTTCCCAGACTGGACTCAATTAGCCTAAAAGAAAGAAGCAAAGGATAAAAGATGAAGAAAAACAGGATGGGATGATATTAAGGTGAAAATCTAAAAGCTCATAAAAGAAATAAAGAATAAGATTTTATGTTTTATTTTCCCAATGTGGTGCATTTTATCTCCACAGAAAGCTGCTGTTTGTTCTTTAACGCCACCTGGTGGTTTCTCAGGTTGTAGCGGGTAAAACAATCAGACTTTTTATTAAACCACTTCAAAGCAACCTTTGAGCTTATTTTGCTCCAAAGAGCAGGTTCATCTGATTACCTTGTAAAGAAGATGGTGGCCTCAGCATCGGTGTTGTGAGGCTGCAGGGCATCGAATACGTACTTCAGGTCCTGGGAACCAGTCAGCACCGGCAGCCCTGATGACATCATCTACGGGAAGAAACACTAATCAGTTAAGGGCCAGACACTAAAGGTTTAGGTAGGTATGATCATCAGTTTAAAATAAGATGTGGCACATTCCACTGATATTTTCAGGACAGAAGGTAAACACTGATGTATTAGTTTAGGTGCAAAAACAACAACTAAGGCCTCTGGGTTCCTCTGGCTCCAGCAGGTGTAAAAACATTAAAGGAGGATCTTTGAAAAGAAGGCCAAGTATTAAAATACAAAAAGAAAAAATTAAATTATACTCACTGCACATATATCTAGTTTAAAATATATATATATTTTTTACTGTTAGAAAAAATTCATGGATATAGATCATAATTGGTTCATTGTTTAATGAAATATCCAGAAGCTGAAAGTATCAGTGAGTTTGAGTCTTGACATGTTAAAGTCTTAGCATTAGGTTGGGATCATTATATAATAAATGAGGAAACTATCGATATCAAAACAGCTTTCGTTTGTCAGGCAAACAGGATTTTGAAAACATTGCTCTAATTTGTGCTTTACTCGCTTACTGTGTTTGTTTATCATTTGGTAGCGTAAATATTTAACTGTTTGAGACACAACTTTTAGATACTCTTTCCTGCTCTACTCACAAATTCCTCACGGACAGGTTGAGACGTTCTCTGGACAGGATTTCCTATTCTTTTAAAACAATACACATGTCCCAACAGATAATCTGTTAGACATTTAAAAACAAAACAAAAATAACCTTGCAAGCCAGGGGCTATTTATCTACTTACTGGGCATCCCAAGGACACCCGTTACAGATGTCTATAAACTGGACTGATTTCTGCTGTACGTTATCAACGTGTGAGTCCAAGAAATTAGAAAAATCAGTGTTTGGTCTAAATGTAATCTAAATCAGAGCTTTGGAGGTTTGAATGGGAGTGTTTTGATTTTGGTTCAGTGAGTTGAACAAGGAAAACAAAAACATCTCTCAGCTAGAGAATAATTTAAATAGAAATCTATTTTTTCCTCCACTATAAATCCACAATTTTATCTTTAATAAAACAGGAAAGATAAGCACACAATACTTAGGCTTAGAAAACAATAAAACTGAATTTCCAAGAACCCTGTTTATAGATGTCAACAGATTAGCTGTGTTGCTAGCTGTTTCACAGTAACTGATCACAGCCACAGTGTATTTGCCCAACATAGCATACAGTACAGAACTAACACATTTGGGTGTTCCCATAAGCTGATTTTATGGTATGGGCCATTAACAGATCTCAAAACAAACCAACAATTTAAAGAGTCTCAATTTCCAAACCAATGAGGATTTCCTCCACGCTGCTGGTCCCGTTTAAACCCTCCTAATGAGACCTATCAGCGCTACGGTGATGGCAACATTTTAGCAGCAGTTGGAACAAATTCTGCTTGTCTGTTTAAAACAAAAGCAATTGCATTGTCTTATTTATTTTTTAAAGATGTTATCAGATGAGAGAATCATATCCTCGGTATGAAACAGAAAGGGGGCAATAAATGTTGGGTGTCGGGTCCCAGATTACTTTAATGATCTAAAACAAACCGACGACACGGAGTCTGTGCTTATGCTGACCCAAGTGGTTCAAAAAATGGATCCCAGACTGTTGAAATCAACTAGTTTAATTCATATTTTCAGCTTATACCAAGGCCTCCCCAGAGGCAGAGTACCGTCACAGTGCTTTTACTAGGCCTCACCAAAGACAGCAGGTTGAGGAAGAGGTCGGAGTTCTTGCGGATGAGGTTGTAGGCTTGGCAGCACAGGTCAACAAACAGCTGGAAGCGGCTGGTGGGACGCTCCCCTCCGTTGATGACGTATGCCATGTCAGAGGTCAAAACGAAGGGAGCGCGATCCCTGATCAGGCAGCAGAAATAGGCATTAAAATGATAAGGAATAAGAAACATTGGTCAGCAACTATTGCTATATTTAGTAAACCACTTGGAAAATGCTGCAATCTTTTCTGTTAGAGAGGCAATTTCTGAATATTTACTGCAATCTTAATTGTTTTGTTCTATTGGCAAAGTGTCTAACTTACCTCCTAAATTCAAGAAAAAATGCACTTATTTTAAGAAAAAAAAGAACACTTTTCAGTTTTTTGCAGTGCATGTTCTTTTCACATGACAGACTTAGAACATCTCTTAAAAACCAGTATCAGGTACTGGAATTTTGGTCAAGATGTAAATGCTCCTTTAATACTTTGTGAAAAAATGGAGGAGAAAGGGGGGAAAACTTTGACGCCTCGATGACTGGACTTTTCTTTTCTCTATGCTAAATCTCCTTATCTTTTTAAATACCGGTATAATGTCTGTGCAATATTTGTTCCAGCTTCTTCTTCTCTATTCCTGAAAAAAGCGTCTATAGTCTTAGTTTAAACACGAAAACCTAAATATTGACAAGGGTTTCATTTATACCATAGGAACAGGATATATTCATAAACTTAAGAACATTTGAGAAAGTGGGTGGATGTTGCATTGAGGAAGCAGGACATGAATTATGTAATACCAGCCACTTCCTAGTCTTTAAACTCAGTGACCTAAAATCTAGACATGTAGATCCTTTCAGTGTTGAAGCATAAATTAGATTACTTTATCATAATTATTGTTTACATGCAAGTTAAATTTAAAAATATGACCAAAAAGTGATAACAATTAGTATTTATAGTCCTCTTCTTTTAAAGAAAATATAAAACTAGACTAAAACTGAATAAGAATACCATTATGATAACTTGGAAGTCCCAAACAATTTATAGAAACATCCTGGAACTGCACAGGTGAGCTTTAGCTACCTTAGTTCTGATCCCTATATAGAGAAAACAACAATGATCAGTTGATGCTGCACATTTCAGCTGTTAAATTAACACAGGAGTCGGTAAAATCCTGGTCCACCCTTAGAGAAAAAAAACCCCAAAAAAACTCCTTGATCACTGATGGTGAACCAACCAAACAACTTTAGCTGGCAAGAAACAGCACACACCCCGCCACAGACTGTCTGATAATCACCTTTTAAAGCTGCCAAACATCTGGGCGTGGCCAAGGAATTTGCCAAAGTCGATGTGAAACATGTGACCAGTGGAGCGCAGCATGATGTTGTCATTGTGGCGATCACAGATGCCAAGAACGTAGGTTGCAACGCAGCAACCGGCGCAGGAGTAGATAAAATTCTCAGATGCCTACAAAAAAAAAAAAAAATAGAAGTTGGATATAAAATAAAATAGGGAGGTGTTTCTTCAACCTAAGAGGCCTTAGTGTGCATTCAGACCGAGCGTGGTGTCCTCGGTGACGGCGAGGGATTAACATAGTTTCCCTGTGCATACCGCGCAGGGAAGGGCAGGGAAGCGGGCACTGCTTTCACCTCGTGCTACTGAGGTGTTGTCAAGCAGCAGCACCGGATGGAGAGAGCTGAGCCATGATCTCTGAAAATGAAAAGACCTGAACTTTTCTATGAAACCGCTTTTAATCAGGGACTGGTTGTAGTTGTAAAGTAGGTTTTTGAGTTAGAAAGAAATATAGAGAAAATTATGTTAACAAAGGTACAAATAAGAAATGCTCTAAAGTGGCTTTTTGGTGGCTTTAATACAAAGGCGTTTTAATTTAGCCCTAGAAGGACTGTTCATCGTGCTCTGTTACCTCCAGCACAGACCCCGGTCTGTCACTAACCACTCTGCAGCATCTGTGCTTTCTGCGCGGGTATATTAACAAAGAAATCCCACCAAATCCGGCCTCATCCAGATGCAGCTCTGGATGAACCAAAGTGGACTCTTTTTTTCAGTGCTTCAGGGGAATTTCCAAAAATTTGTGGTACTCCACCGATTCAAAAGTTGTTCATAGACAACATTTTAGCAGTAATCTGCAAAGTTAACTTTCACCTGTGCTTTTATTGTAAAATGCCAACAGGGACACCTTGACACTGGCTGGCTATTTACTAAATATTAAACAATACAATATCAATAATATTTACAAAATATTAAACCATCATTCCAGCCACTAAAGAAGGTGAACATGCCTACTGTTTTATTCAATGCCAGTACAGGAATGGCATGTGATGTAATGATTTTATATTCTGAAACAGCAGCACCAACGTCCTGTGGGATGGTGACGTCATCGGCTGGAATTAAAACAAAATCAGGACAAATTTGTTTTACCTACACAAATCCAGTCTCAAAAAGTAATTTTGATTTCATTCTGAGCTTAATGGGGAGTGGTTGACCTCTGGATGATTTTTAAAAATAATCTTTATTATCCATTTAGTCTATTTGCTGAGTATTTCCCCATGGGTGGGGTGTCAGTTTCATGCACCTGATGCTCCTCCTATTTGATATCCAGGGTGTAAACACTGTGTATCTCAAATGCAGAGCAGTGAACTCTCCCCAGCGCTAACGAACATCCCTGCAGACACGGCAGTCGGTCTGAATGCACCTTAAAGGCACCAGCAGTACTTTTTGTATTTACCTTCTCGTATTCGTCCTCAGCTGGGTTATACTTGCGCAGCCATTCGGCCAAAGGTTTGTCCTTAAAAGATCCAGTGACTCCATATTCCACCTGAATCTTCCTGAGAGTATCAGAGAAAGGAACCAGCTCCACCATACCTAAAGACAAAGAGCATTTTAAGAGAGAGAGCTAGAAAGACCTGGCCCATGAGTTATATATTTATATTTATGAAGTCACCTTTATCCTTGCCAGTGGAGATGCATTTAAAGTTCACAATGCGGAGGTCTAGACCCTCCTGCAGCCAGATGCGATCCATAATGCGAATCATCTGAAGAGCAAGCATGTCCTGCCTCAGGTCTTCTCCTACCTGATGTATAAACAAAACAATAAAAAAAAACTTTTGTTAATATTGGTACATTTCATTTCAGCCACCAGGGGGAGCAAAGTTCACCAGGAATGCATGAAAACCAGCTGGTGTCAACAAGGTCAGCTAAAACATTAGATCTACAAAATCACCCATTTCCTTGGTGTCCTTATGCATCATTCCTACCCTTCAATTATCTCACATCCTGCCACATTACAATCTCTACCTTCCGATTTTTGTTATTGGGGTTGTATGTGGAATATGACAAAAAAAGACAGATTTAATTAGGTTTGGGTCTGAAGTTGTGACTGAAATAGCCTGAAACATCAATACGCTTCAGTCAACACCATTCTTTAGCAATCTCTGTTTTAGTTTGATTTTATCGCTGCTTCTAACAGGTTTTCAGGTTACCATCAATGCCTCAGCTCCCAACATAGACAAGACGACTGCTGAAGTGTTGAGAAAAAAAAAACTCTAAACTAAGTCACAGACTCTGCATCTCACTGTTAACACCAAATTACTGCATATTTGCACCATATATATTTGCCTTGAAATGCTCTGAACTACCATATCAATGTGTTTTTTTCTCCCACACTGTTTACATTTGATCACTCCTGAACTTTATGGAACGGAAATGTTTATTTCACTGCTAAGCTGCTGCTCATTTACTGTCTGAAAGCTGTACAAAACAACATTTTGTTTTGTATACATTCTGTGTATAAAAAAAATATCAATAAAAGTTGTCTAAATCTAAGACTAAAAAAGACCCAATGATGGGCTTTTTGTGAAGGGATATTAATACTTATAAAAGGTGAAATGAGATTTCAAATAAGCTCTGTTGTTGGTGTGTCTGTGTCTGAGTGTGTGTAGGTGTATAGCGAACCTTGAACATGACATTGATTTCCTCTCCTAATGGATCTGCATTGACCATCGCCAGCTTAAGTGGAACTGCATTGGAGTTGAAGAAGGAACAGGCCTACAAACAAACAATTTTTTTTTAAATTCTTTTAGTGAGTTCTGCAGGATAAAAATATCAAACATTGGAACTGGTAATGACGTTATGCAAAAAAAACAGAAAAACATGTATTCCAATTACAGTCTTACAGCAATAACGGCAGAAAATATTATTAATCAAAAACAATGCATTGTCCAAAGGAAAGCTTCATTTAACTCCTACAGTGTGCAGGAATGGTAAAGCACTAGGACTATAGTTTAAATCTATACTGTACTTTAGTAGTAATATATTAATTAACATACCAACTTCAATATGATCATAAAAAAATCTTAGAATAGTTATTCAATGACCTACTTTGAAGTTTAGCTCTTTTGCCACCAGACTGGGGTTCAGAGGAAGTCGGCAACTGTTTCTCTGGAAAAAATTCTGGATGTTTTCTAGACCCTCCTGCAGCGCCACCTGCAGCCACACAGTAACGGCATCAGTAACTCCATACACACATACAGAACAGGAAGCACCTGGAGCTTAACGCCACAAACACACATACCTGTCGGGTGGATCCCCCTGCCTGTCTGACCCTCTCAGCCACGGTTCCCAGCAGAGTGGCCAGGTGAGTCTGTTTTTCAAGCTCTGCCCTCAGTTTGCTTCCACAGAGACACAAGAGCGCACCGAGCACCTGCTCATAGCGCCTCCCCCAGGTAGAGTCCTGCACCGCATCTTTGAGCAACCTGAGGCGATCACATGGATAAGCCATTTACAGGAGAAAGCACACTTAAAGGGTTTGTCATTGTTAACATGAAATCATACAAACCAGACGCCTGACTTGGAGAAAGATTTTGATGAAAATGTCCTAAAAGCTTTTTGAAATAATAAAAGATCTAAAAACTGCTTAATTACTGTTTATTACTATGTTGTTAAACATTTAGACACAGCACAGGAGGAAGAGTACAGAGTTCCTCTGCATATATAAAGTAAATTTCTGTGATGTGTTATCAATAAAGTCAATCAATCAATCAATATTCAAGATAAAATGCTATTGTTTGGAAAAATAAGTAATTCAGGTGCAATTCTTCGCAATTTCAGTTAACATTGAAGTAGCTGTTTTTTTGTGTGAATCTGAGGCAGACTCACCAGTACAGGTAGTGGGCTATGTTGATGTTGCCTTGGGCTCTGGATAGCATGAACATGACGAGGGCGTTGTTCAGGTGACACTCAAACTTTATTGCCTGGAGGAAAGGAGAGATGAACGAAGTTTTGAATTTAAAATGTGTGCAAAGGAACTTGAATAAATGGCGCCGCTCTCCATGCCAATACGTGTTACCAGTCGTACCTGAACAAGCTGTGGCAGATAGTCAGCAAGTTCATCATCACTGCTTTTCTCAATCCAGCTTACAGCCACACTTCTCACTTCGGTATCTGCAAATCTAAACAGACGATACTAAACTCAACGTCAAGTTTCTCCATTCTTGGTTGCATCCATGACTTCGTATTTTTACAATCTCCTCATGTTATGATGAGGTTTCTTCAATATAAAATGAGCTCAGTGGCTTCGTTATGTACGGAAGATGAGAGCGGTCTTACTCGACTTTTTTTTTCTTTTTTTTTTCTTTGCCTTCTCGAGATAATGACATAACTATCTTGTAATCACGGTTAAAACATTAATTGTTTTCTCAAGAGAACAAGATAATAATGTTGTTATCACGAAAAAACAGTTATTAATTTCTCAAGATAACGAGATGATGAACCTGTATGAGTAATGAATGAGGCTGGCCAACAGCCATGGACTCCCAGTCCATCCATGCCTGTGGCGCCAGTAGTTGTGCAGTTGCAGTACCGCATGTGCGCAGATGATTGTTTATTTTTAGTTTCTTTTTTCTTTTAACTCCTTGTCAGGTCCTGGTGGATGATTGGATTGCATGGAATACAGTAGAAACAAATCCAACTGTGTTGTAATAAAACTCTTTAATCTGGACTCATTTTGGGGGTTAATGCATCTTATACAGGCGTAACACCGGGGCTGTTCAGAAAACACCCGGCGCTACAGGGCTGGATGCATAAGTCTAATTGCTTATGAATCAGAAATGGAAGCAAGTAATCAAACCAACAATGTTGTCTCGTTACCTAAATGTTAAACACACGATTATTTACAGAATTACAAATAGGGTGCCATGACTTATACTTATAAATCCCTTCCGCTGTTGTGGTATTGAAGGATTTAATTCGTTTTAACATACACCAATCATCTCGTTATCATGAGAACACGGCTTTCATTACCTTAACATAATGACAAAATTAACTAGTCTTCTTAAGACAACCGTTGTGTAAAAGTATCAGAGGGACACGGCCGCTCTCGGCTTCCGTAGGTACGAGATGTGTTGACAACACCTACTTTGAGTCGAGCAGCTCCAGAGCAGTGACTAGAGGTAGAGAGGGCCAGTGGTGCAGCAGGGAGTGGATGTGAGCCATGCTGGCCCAATCCCAGCTGGGCGCGCTGGCCAGGACCTTAGGCAGGCTGCTGGGATGGTCCCTACGGCAGTGGAGCCGATGGTCCCATAAGATTTGGTGATCTGAGCGCTTCAACCTGTAGTTGGTAAAAGATAAACAAAACATAAAGATGTGAACAAATCATTTTGCATCAAATAAACAATTGAAATGTTCACATTTTAAGGTTTAAACCTAAAACTAAAAAAAGTTTAATTTAGAAGAGGCTATAAGATAGAACACAATCATCCAGTGGGTGTCAGGAATCAAGATCCTGAGACACACTTCAAAAATGAAATGATATAGATGTTAAAAAACTGCTTTATGAGAAAAAAACAAAAAGTTCCTATGGTTTAAAATGTATTTTTTTAAAACAGCTGTTCTCATTAGCTTTGTACAGAAGCACAAACACTTGCACTTCCATCTGTGGGAGCCACTTAACCTGTATTAGAAAACAGAAATATGACGTAAATAAACTTTAGCTGTTGCAATTCAATTCAATTAGTGGATTTTTATAGCACCAATTCACAATATATGTCATCTCAAGGCACTTTACAGTTCACCAGATCATACAGTCAAATAGATTAAAAATGTTCTATCTAAGGAAAACCAGTTGATTGCATCGACTCATTGACTCAAATACAATCCCTCACACTAAGCATGCTTGTAGCGACAGTGGAGAGGAAAAACTCCCTTTTAACAGAAAGAAACCTCCAGCAGCACCAGGCTCTATGTGAGCGGCCATCTGCTGAGACTGACTGAGGTTCAGAAATGAATGAGCAAGACAGAAAACAGGATTCTAGAATCTGTTGATAAAGAGCTTTGTGTAGCATAGACCTGCAGCAATCACATAGTATAAAATCTATAATTTCTACAAAGTCCTGTTTATTATTATTATAAGTCAAAATTATGCCTAAAGGTTATCTGAACTTAAAATGTTAGTTTTGTTCATAGTATAACAAAACAAACTCAATGTGGGATCGGATAGAATAAAAAAATACATCTAATTTGTTTAAATTTTTAGCATAAATGCAAACATTTTCTAATATGCTTTGAGAAGTCATCACATGGTTGCAACCTAACCCTGATGGCAGAGTTGCCTAACATGTCCACAACACAGCAGAGATTTCATCTGATTGCATTCCTGCTAAATTAATTGTTTGTAAACTAGTGAGAAAGGAAGACGGCACTGGTTGACAGAAATTGTTCTCCTACCCGAAATTCGAGGCTCGGCTGCAGATTTTCTCCAGCTTCCGTTTCAAGTCTGGATCGAGCTCTTCCAGAGTGTGGGGTTCCGGGCTGGGGGCCTCTTTGGGTCCAACATATAAAACATCTACCGATGATTCAGGAAAGTCCACCTGATGCAAAAGACAACAGCAGGGAGGAGATCTGTGAAATCCAACTGATTGAATTGGATATATTCCGTGTGAGTGAAAGTGAGAGTGAGAGAGTAGGAAGGCAAGGCAAGGCAAGAAAAGGAAGGAAGGAAGGAAGGAAGGAAGGAAGGAAGGAAGGAAGGAAGGAAGGAAGGAAGGAAGGAAGGAAGGAAGGAAGGTAAGAAGGAAGGAAGGAAGGAAGGAAGGAAGGAAGGAAGGAAGGAAGGAAGGAAGGAAGGAAGGAAGGAAGGAAGGAAGGAAGGAAGGAAGGAAGGAAGGAAGGAAGGAAGGAAGGAAGCCTTTAGAGGATGTAATGTTGCATAAGCAGTAGAATAAAGTGTGTATTCAACAATAGCACTAATAGGGTCCAGTTGGGCCAAAACATGCCCATATCATGACATTTAGGTTCTGATTGAGGAACTCTATATTTTATTTATACAAATCCTGACCTCTGTTCTAATTTCCAAATAATTGGAATTTGAGACTTGGGGTACAAACTTCATACTGACCGTTTTGACTGTTTTGAGGTGGACTTAATCAAATAATAAGCAGCACCCAGACTCATTTAGAAAACAACATTTATAAAAAATAAACACCAATAAAAATTATTAAAACTCAGAGGCTATTAATAAACTACAACCCATTACAACAACAAAACAAACACTGAGAACAACAAAGAGAATAAAACTAATCTAGCTCCGCTGGTTTGCTCCCAAAGCTTTTTAGGAATGTGTAACTCCCCTTTGCTGCCCCACCCTACAGAGCAGACAAACCAGGAACAGGTGAATCCTGGTTGAACTGAACAGGTATATGGTTAAACTAACAGTAATGCAAGGAAACAAACTGAAATTTGCTTCATCAGACTGGAAGGACGTCCAGTCCCTCTGCTTCCTAAGAACCTCCCCCAAAATACCCCTGACACAATCACAACAAGGAGCACAAACAACTGGTCTATCACAACATCGTACGTAACAATTTTAATAACCACGTTTCACCAACTGATGGGGAAACTACACATCCATTATTTTATTAAATACCCTTTCCTCATAGACTAGTTTTTGTACAGTGAATTATTGATTTAAAATAATTTCTACATCTCCTTAAATCCCTTTCCATCCTCATTCACTGCTTCAGGCTCCCTCTGATGTCCTCTTTCCATGGTGTTCACTGTCACTTCGAACATCCCCAAAAACTGAATGAAGTTTAATGAGCAAAACACAGAGTAACAATGTGAACCGTGTGCTTATAATGCAACATATTTGTGTGTTATTTTAGCCATTTCATTGGGAATTAAAGTGAGGGGTCTTCATTTCATACTCAACACAAAATACACTGAAATTGTTTCATGACATTTTCTAGTTTATGAATATGAATTTCTCTATATTGTTACAATCAATGTAAAAAATCCCTAAAATGTTGGAAAAACACTAAGATTATTGCATGTTGGGGACCCTATCTGTCAATCCCTTTTAACCAACCTGTAATATGATTCTTTCTGCAGGAACCTTCTTGCGGCCACCTGCAGCACCAGCAGCTCCAACTGCTCCTTGAGCAGATGTCCACAGACATAAGAAAGTAGTGCCTCGTGCGAGTACTCTGTGAAACACAGTCAGAGGTTAACATTGGCTAAAAAAATTTTTTGTCTTAGGTTTCATTCTAATCATGAGAAACCTAATAATGAAAGGAAAGTAGGATGTTGTTTTCCTCACCCTCTGAAGTCAAACAGAGGCATAGAGACTTTGCCTAAAAACTCTGGGGCTTTCCGCTGTTTGTTGGAATCTGGTGAGCCACTGGCATTCTGGTTGAGCACCCCAAATAGACTCAGAGTCAGCGTGGACTCCAGAGGGAGCACGGCTACTGCGATGGGGAAAATGATCCTTGGAGAGACAACACACCACAGCACATCAGTGAAAAAACTGCAGCATCTATAAACTACTGGGGAGAAGAAAAAAACGGGAGGACTTACAGCTCATCCCATTTGATGTGGTAAAAAAAGCTTTTATATGTGCCAACTCTCCTGGAATGAACTGGTTTGAACAGGTTCTTCCCATTGTGGGTGAGGGAACACATCAGGAAGTACTTCTCATAACTAAAAACAAAAAAACAACAACAAAAACAATGCTAAAGTGC